AGAACATAACGTCGTTTATCTGACAAAGAGGCGTAACTCAAAAAAATTCGTTTTTGAGTTATACCAGAATGATCACCAAAATCGACTTTATAGTCTCACAAACTGGCGTAGCTCTATAATAAATAGGTACAAATAAAGTTTTAGCATAAAGCAGTTTCGGCGTAACTAATATTTTTGCATTTTATGTGCCGTACAAACTGGCGTAATTCAATTCACACCGTTTTGTTTAAAAATGAGATACGCCTCTTTGTCAGATAAACGACGATAAGCTTGCGCAAAGCACCCCGCGACGGGGCGATGGAGCAAGGTTCTTTTGTCAGCTGGGTGCTTTGCGCAAGCTTATATTCTGCGATCTGCGACAATTGTAGACCCGGTTTAACTCATCATTGACATTAAAATTAATAGGGTTGCCAATAGTCTAAAATAAAAATCCCTAAAAACTGCCACGCATCGAAATATAATAGTTATTTATATATTAAGGGCATAATAAGGTTTTTATGGTTCGAGGCGCTATTTCGAGCCCGAGCGCGTTAGCGCGAGGGCTAGAAAAGCGTCGTAGGACCATAAAAACCAGTTATGCCAGCAATGCATACAAAACTTTAACACGATTAATATATTATTATTTTTAATATATTATTGTTTTTAAAGACGTTTACGTCAAAGAATTTTTGTTATAATTGTCATATTATAATGTCATCGTTGACATCAGTCAGTTTTAAAGTTTAAAGATGAATGAAATTGAGGAAGCAGCTGAAAAGGCGAAAAATTGCGGCTTGCTGCCGGAAAATCAAAATCTTTATACGAAAAAACTTACTTCGAATATATCAAATGGTGTAACATAAGGAAGAATAGTTTTGCGCCTATTGTTTTTAATTTTTGACGTTTCATTATAGCCCGCGTGCTATAAAAAGCAGTGGCGGCTGGTGTATTTTGGGTATACCAATATTTCAGTTATTAGACATGGGACCCACACCAAATTTATAATAGTTCGGCGCAAACAGAATTTAAATTGAAGTTTGCGAAAAAAAGTTTTTCCTGTCGCCTCACCCGCCTTCAGGCCCTCGTATTTAAGATAATTCAAATTAAAGTGGTGCAATTTATTGTCTACTATAATTTATCGACAAATTTAAAATTTTATTTAAAAAATCCAAAAATTACAGGTTTTATACCATTTTGAATATTTTTTTATTTTAATAAAATAAATAATAAAAATTTAAAATCGAATAAAATCTGTAATATTTGGATTTTTTAAATAAAATTTTAAATTTGTCGATAAATTATAGTAGATAATAAATTGCACCACTTTAATTTGAATTATCTTAAATAGGGGGGCCTGGAGGCGGGTGGGGCGACAGGAAAAACTAACTTTTTTTCGCAAACTTAAATTTAAATTCTGTTTGCGCCAAACTTGTTCATTTAATGTCATTATAAACTATTATAAATTTGGTGTGGGTCCCATGTCTAATAACTGAGATATTGGTAGGGGAGAGTGGGTAGAGTCTGGACACTGGGAGACAATGGACAATGAACGAATTTCGCGGTTCCAGTAAAAATTTCAGGTTGGTTCTACTATTACAGCTGTACAATCTAGATTGTCAAGTTGCTAAGGTATCAAATAGTGGTAGTGAAATAAGTTTGAGTTTAGCTGTAGAAGAGGTAAGTGGAAAAGTTTATTTTCGAGTTTTTTCATGTAATATTTTACTTTCCCCTTGTAAGCTTTTCTGCCCAGACCGTTGTAGATAAATAATTTAAAGTTACTACATATTAAAGCATGTATAAAGCATAGACCTTTTGTTATATCCTTACTTTATTCCGTTGCTATATTTTGAAATTATGAACATTTTTTTTGTTTTACATCATGTAGGGAGAGTTTGGACACACTGTCTAGAGTCTTCCTCTATTGTCCAAACATGGTCCCGGCACTTCGTTAGCAGAATATTGCAAAAATTAAACCAAGGATATATAGTCAAATTCCTTAAAAGGCAGTTTCTATCATACAGATTTAAAGAAACACATGAAGATGAAGCCTTGGTGGATTTTAAGGACGTGGTATTGGTTCTTCCCTGACGGAGTTAGATTCCATTCGCAATTTAGTATTAAATAAGTTTTGCTCTGATTTTTTCAATAAAATTCCTAAATTTATAATATTTTTATAGTGTCCAAATGCACCCCGTACGTTGTCCAGAATCTCCCCGTATGTGGGGTGACTTTGGACAGATGACCGAAAATTTTCAAAAATTCGTAGCAAACCGGTTTAAAGTGCACATATTTATCTCTTTGCGTTTTCAAAAGTCAACACTATTACCTGAAACTTTGAAATTAGAAATAATTACATTTCTAAGAGACCCAGGCAAAAAAATCTAAAAATTGTCCAATGTCTACCCACTCTCCCCTATACATAAAATCCACCAGCCGCCACTGATAAAAAGACGTTTACGTCAAAGAATTTTTGTGATAATTGTCATATTATAATGTCATCGTGCATAAATATAATTTATAACATCAAAATTTTTCCTCCAAAAGCTCGTGTTGCTACAACCTCCTAATCGGTCTATTTTAACTTGAAATGTTTTTGGTTTTGATAAATTAACTGAATTTCTTGAAAGTCCATTAATATCAATTTTATTCCTTGAAATGGCAAACGATTGCCATAAAATGCATTAAGCCATTAAGTAGCCAATAAAAATCAATATGTTAATACGTTTATGTCTCTCAAAAATAATACGCATTTATATCCGCTTGACACAGTTTCGCATGTTCCATTTTTTATTTGCCTCGTAAGAATATCGTCGATTCAAATAAATATTCATCGGACGACAACAAAAACGTTTCAGCAGACGACTGAATAAATTTATTTGCCTTTAGTAATATAAACTGAAGTAAACGTTTGATGTAGGTAGTATCTCCATTTGAATAGTTTCCATGGAATGTCTTCAAAATTTAATATATTATTTTGTGAGGCATCAGACATCAATTTTTAATTTTTTATCTCACGATCGAGCTCGCTCTTGAGATCTTCATAAAAAATAAACCATAATAATTAATTTGTACTGATATCACTTTTCAAATGGAGATTCCTACCTGGGTAGCTACTACCTTATAAAATTAGCTTTGAAACATTATATTTACTTGTGCAAACATAGTAGGTATTTATTAACCCCAATATGCTGGCAAAGTAATTAGCAGGCTACTAATTATTTGTGTTACCAATAAACTTGAACACTCGTTAAAAATAATTAACTTTACAAATTAAAAATAAATTGATTCAAATAATATTAATACCTATTGGGTGCAATATCAATTGCACCCAATATTAATTTTATTATTTTAATACTTTAGCCAAGGATTATTGTAATGTAACAGCTACATTGTAGCTAAATAAACTAACAATGGTCCGAGTTACTATAAAGTAGTACCTATAGGTACTATAGTAGGTAAATGTTTTAACTATTTTTTCCTAGCACCTTAAAATGTGGTAGCAATATTAAAACATCGTAAACCACAAATAACAAGTTGTTTAGTAGAGCATGATATAAAAAGAGAAAGCAATTATTATATTGCATTGTAGTAGTTCAAACAAGCATAATGTCCAAGAATGAACATGTGTTTGAAACCAAAATGCCTAGTAAAAAGTATACATAATGGGTTTTATTAAATTTCACCCAACAATTTTGGAATGGTTTTATTCCGGTTTTAAATGCCAGCGGCAAGGAAATGATTTTTTAGGAATTTTATTAGAATTTACAACCTGCCAATTAACGCAAATACTTGGTGGGTTCTGCCAATCATTTTTGTTGTTTGATGATAAGATTATAGACATACCTACCTACACATAGATGGCTATGTTTTAAATAATTATATGTGTATGTATATACAAACTGTAGGTAATTCAAGATATCTTGAATTACCTACAGTTTTAGCACGAAATTTTAAACATTACAAATTGACTTTAACAAATATATTTTATCTACTCCTACATTGACGAGTTGTGACTTTATGGCATTTTAGTCACGGGCTGAAGTTAATAACAGTGGCTTTTGGGCATTTTAGTCACGGGCTGAAGTTAGCTTTATTATAAATTGCGAAAAAGTGAGGTTAAGTTTGTTAAATGTCAAATTTTATGAAATAAAATTGTCTTTAAATTCTTATTTCTGTTCGTCGTAGATAAAGTATATATAAAACGAGTTTATAAAACGAGTTGCATACTATATAGTATGCAACTCGTTTTATAAACTTCTCTAGACACTCGTTTTTATTAAACACTCGCTCGCAAGCTTCGCTCGTGCCTAAAATGGCGTTTATAAAACTTACTTAGGTACCAAGTTTATAAAATCAAATGTAAATCATATACCTAACTATATATATATGCGTAACTAGAAAAAGTGCCGCCCGGGGCAGCAGTGGCTGTCGCCCTCATGTTTTTTTTTGGGTGGGGGGAAGAGAGGTTAGGTTAGGAGTCAGTTTTGAGGACCGTACGCAAAATTATTGGTAACTTATGTCGGCGGTAGACTGATTACTCATCAAAGGTACAATACCGGTCTTGTTTCTTTTTTTGCTAGCTTTATTTGATTTGGAATATTTTGGGAGTAATTGTATAAATCTCAAATCTATTGGAATTTGAATTATATTATTTCGAAAGAGAATATTTAATTATCAAATATTTTTTTTATTTTTCAGTTTTTTTCGCATTTTCTCTCACGATTTTTGCCGCCCCAAGAAGTGCCGCCCGGGGCGGACCGCCCCCCCCCGCCCCCCCTAGTTACGCTACTGTATACCTATAAGTTATAGATGTAAATTGCAAATTTTAATACGTATACAAATATATAAAAATTCGTGGTGTATTAATGAAACCAAACAAATTATATCACAATAATTTTTCAATTCAATATTCCTGCAAATCCTGCTCAACACATACTTCCAGTATGTGCTGCTCAATTCACGTGGCGCCATCTATTACCATATAGTCAAACTGATTTTATAACCTCAAAATAATGGTCTAATTCTGCCATCGTTTCAAAATTCCACCAAAACAATGGCCAATCCAAAATCAGAAGAGGCTCGGCAAAGTTATCGTGATAGAACACCTTTTAAAGGATTTAAGATTGATGATAATTCCATATTAGGCTCCATAGAAGGTAGATATTGTTGTCCAAAATGTGGAAAATCTAGGAAATATTACTGTTATTCCTGTTATGTGCCTATATCAGAATTGGCTGGTAAACTACCAACAGTGAAGGTAAAAATATAGCTATAAATAATGAGTTTATTTTAATATGTTTTTTTAGCTTCCTTTAAAAATTGATATAATTAAACACAAACATGAAATAGATGGCAAGAGCACTGCAGGACATGCAGCAATATTAGCACATGAAGACGTTAAAATATACACATATCCTGACATCCCAAGCTATGAAAACGAAAATGTAGTATTAATTTTTCCCAGCCAACAAGCTATAAGTGTAAGTCAACTAGTAAATGAAGAAAATTATGAAAATATTTATCAGCACCAAACCAAACCTTTAGATGAAATTCCAGAGGGTTACAATAGGACCACATTAATGACAAAAATCCCAAAATCTAGAGAGGAGATTGGTTTTAATGGAGAAATTAAAAAAATACCAGTGACCAAAGCAATTTTTATCGATAGTACTTGGAATCAAAGTAAAGGTATTTACAAGGACGAAAGGATAAATAGGATACCTTGTGTGGTGATTCAGAATAGAATATCTCAATTCTGGAGACACCAAAAAGGCAGTCCACGGTGGTATTTGTCCACAATTGAAGCTATTCATCAGTTTTTAATAGAAATTCATTTGCATTTATGGGGGTTGCATCCAAGCTATGAGGGAATTGAAAGCTGTTTTACTGAGAAGTGTTTAAAACAGTTTAAGATAGTGGATGATGATAAAGCTTATAATGGACAGTATGATAACATGCTTTATTTTTTTAAGCATATGTATGATTTGATTCATAGTTATTATCAGCATGAAGAGTTATATGCTTATAAAAGGAGGTTAATGTGATTTTGTGTTTTAATTCATTCACCTTTTCTAATCCTTATTCCTTAAATAATGTTTTTTTATATTTAAAATATTTGTATAATTTTTGTTTATATATCCTTATTTGTTTTTTTTCGCACTGGTCCTAAATCGGTTCAAAACAAATACTGTCAAGTTTTAAAATTAACTTTATCCTGGCCCCCATGGCAATTTAACTTGTCAGGATTTTTATTTTATTTATTTTGAACTGATTTAGGGCTGGATAAAAATTCGAAAAAACCTCACCCTAATATTACGTTTTATTAATATATTTTCAGTTTTCTGGTTTTAATTTGATGATTTTCAATTGAGGCGCTTTTTACGAAAACACATACTCCAAGAATGTTTGGTTAATTATTTTTTATTTTAAACATCATCTTAAAAGCCTATAAAGATGGACTTGTGCTGTTTGAACCTAATGAAAAAATGAAAAAAACTGGACTATTGTTATTTTTTTTTTAAATAATTAGACAATCCTTTTACCTTTTATGGTTTTCTTATCTTTGTTTTCTGTTGCTTTATTTTTAGTTCCAATACCTTTTTTAATATTTTTTTTGACTTCATTCGTTTCACAGAACATAATAATTCGTTTTCAAAACTCATTTTAAGATTAAATAAAACTGCAATCATAGAAACCAACTCGCAATGTTATCGCGTTTTAATCCATTTTTTACGTTTTTTAATTCACATTACTGTGTTACAATTTTTCTGAAATTTTTTTAAGTTTTAGGGATAATATTCGTACATTGATATCGAGAAAAAAGTGAATTTCTGACGCGGTTTATAATCATAATAGTATTATAATATTTTTATGATTATAATTATTTCTTTTATTTTAATAAAAGAATTCTAAATTATAATTTTTTTAATTTAACTTTTTAAATCATTCATTATCCTTTTTGCAAAAAGACCCAACCGACAGTATATTAAACGATTACGTTTATTTTCTTAAATAAATTAAATAATTTAATACAATGTTTAGTTTTTTCAGTAATAAAGGGTATTTTTTTAAAATTAAAATAATGTTAAGTTGTTGCTTGCTACTTTTTTCAAATGTGTATATTTTACAAAAAAAAATCAATTTACAAGGTATATAGTGCCTTTAGTATTAAAATAAAAAACAATTATAAAATTACTGCTCAGGTTTTTGGAAACCGTATTTATAACTTACCTGAATCCCATTTTTTTTAACTTGTTTAAAGTCAAATCAAACCTTGTTAATAATTGTATTTGCTTCACATTTTATAAAAATGTTAAACTTGAGGAATTAATACACTGCCCGTCAAAATGAACGCATAATAGGTAAAAAAATTCTAACTCTAAAACGCCTTTACCAATCTTTATAAAATTTTGGATAAAAAATACTTTAACTTATATCTCAGTTTACATTTTCAAGGGTTTTTCGAAAAAATATCCTTAAAGCCCTTTTATTTAATATTAAAAAAATGCTCAAAAAAAAACTTTTATAGGAATTTTTTTTTAAGTAAATAAAAAATATGCTGTTAAAGACCGTCCCAAGCAACAATTTAAGTATTTGTTACGTATATGGGACTATTGAAGAAACTTTAAAGTGTTTTGCGACAGTCGCCGGTCTCTTTATATTACTCTTTTATTACTAACCCAAGCAGCATTTTTGGTTCCAAAAACCATTGCCAAAGTAGTGATAACTTTAAATTAGTTAAGTATACTAAACAGCTACTTTAATTTTTACTTAAAAGTAATTCCAACTTTTAAATAGCAATATTTTGTAACAGAAACTTAATTTTTCCTTAAATTGTTACTATAAAGTAATAAACATTTAAGTAAAACTTGGTTGCCCCCAAGAAGACTTTGCAACTTTAAAAAAGATGTTATAAGTAAAAAAAACTTTCAAGTAAATTTAATTTGTAGCAGTTACTTTCGGTTGCTACCTAAAGATTACATTATAATTATTTTTACTTTGTAGTCCCTTTGCAAGTTAAAATCTCGAAACTGGAACATGAGTTAAAAACTACAAAGTTAATAACTTAAAAGTTATTATTTTAGTATTTGGAACGTTTATGGTACTAACCAAAACAACCGTAAAGTGGAAAAAACTTTAAAGTAGCGAAAACTACTTCAAAGGAAAATGCTTCTTATCGGCCATTTTTTACTGTACAGTACCACGTGGTAATGTAAATAATAAATTATTTTAGTTGTTATTAAATGGTTGTTTACTTTTTAATAAATAGAAATATTGTTGGTAATAGACGGTATTAATAATTAAATAAAAAAAATAATAATAAATATTAAGATTTTTTTATTTATAAACATTACTAAATAAATAATTTGTTTATACTTAAATATTGATGAAGCGCATTTATTTTACAAAAACTAAATTCATAAGTTCAACAGTAAAATTTAAAGGGTTTATAAATCTACCTGTCTAATTAAACATTATATTGTTATTCTGGAAGTTATAAACTACCAGTACATATTTAATAAACGACGACATTGAAAAGCCAAGTCCGTAGTGGTTCCATTTAAAAAAGGAGGGATAGTATAATCTAATATATTATTATATATAAGTTTGACAAAGACAGTTAATATAGAAGTAAAAACAAATAATAAAAGTAATTATAACGCTCTAGCAACGATATTGGAACGTTCTAGTAACGTTGCAGCTACGTCCCAAATAGTAGCAGGGTTGGTAGCTAGTGACATATTTGCTACCTTTTTGGAACTCAATAATTGTTCCCCACTTTAGTCGTAACGTAGTAATGAAAGAGTAATATAAAGAGACCGGCGACTGTCGCAAAACACTTTGAAGTTTCTTCAATAGTCCCATATACGTAACAAATACTTAAATTGTTGCTTGGGAAGTTACAACTAAAGTGGGGAACAATTATTGACAAATATGTCACTAGCTACAAACCCTGCTACCATTTGGAACGTAGCTGCTACGTTACTAGAACGTTCCAATATCGTTGCTATAGCGTTATAATTACTTTTATTTATTTGTTTTCACTTCTATATTAACTGTCTTTGTCAAACTTATATTATAATATATAGATTATACTATCCCTCCTTTTTTAAATGGAACCACTACGGACTTGGCTTTTCAATGTCGTCGTTTATTAAATATGTACTGGTAGTTTATAACTTCCAGAATAACAATATAATATTTAATTAGGCAGGTAAATTTATGAACCCTTTAAATTTTACTGTTGAACTTATGAATTTAGTTTTTGTAAAATAAATGCGCTTCATCAATATTTAAGTATAAACAAATTATTTATTTAATAATGTTTATAAATAAAAAAATCTTAATATTTATTATTAATTTTTTTATTTAATTATTAATACCGTCTATTACCAACAAAATTACTATTTATTAAAAAGTAAACAACCATTTACAAACAATTTATTATTTACATTACCATGTGGTACTGTACAGTAAAAAATGGCCGATAAGAAGCATTTTCCTTTAAAGTGGTTTTCGCTACTTTAAAGTTTTTTTCCACTTTACAGTTGTTTTGGTTAGTACCATAAACGTTCCAAATACTAAAATAATAACTTTTAAGTTATTAACTTTGTAGTTTTTAACTCATGTTCCAGTTTCGAGATTTTAACTTGCAAAGGGACTACAAAGTAAAAATAATTATAATGTAATCTTTAGGTAGCAACCGAAAGTAACTGCTACAAATTAAATTTACTTGACAGTTTTTTTTACTTATAACACCTTTTTTAAAGTTGCAAAGTCTTCTTGGGGGCAACCAAGTTTTACTTAAATGTTTATTACTTTATAGTAACCATATAGGGAAAAATTAAGTTTCTGTTACAAAATATTGCTATTTAAAAGTTAGAATTACTTGTAAGTAAAAATTTAAGTAGCTGTTTAGTATACTTAACTAATTTAAAGTTATCACCACTTTGCCAATGGTTTTTGGAACCAAAAATGCTGCTTGGGGTACAAATCAAACGAACAGTAATGAAGATACAGTGCTTTAAAGTCGGTAAAAATGACCACTTTTCAGCAAAATAATCAAAAAGGGGTCATTTTTACCGACTTTGAAGCGCTGTATCTTTGTTACTGTTCGTTTGATTTGTACAAAATTTTTAGGGTATACTAAATACGGTCTTGACAGCATATTTTTTATTTACTTAAAAAAAATTCCCTAAGTTTTTTTTCGAGCGTTTTTTTAATATTAAATAAAAAGGCTTTAAAAATATTTTCTCGAAAAACCCTCGAATACGAAAACTGAGATATAAGTTAAAGTATTCTTATACAAAATTTCATAAAGATTGGTAAAGGCGTTTTAGAGTTTTTTTTTACTTATTATGCGTTAATTTTGACGCGCAGTGTAGAATGGGGAAATATTAAAAATAACAGAGTCTTCACAGTTTATTCCAGATAATTTATTTGATTGAACCAAGTCAATCCACAACAAAGTTTTTAAAACGGAAGTGAGAATAAATAGTATCTAGCCACATAAAAATATAAAAAAGATAAAATTCGTAAGTAAACATTACTTATCGTTAATAAAAATAATTTTCATATAAAAAATATCTACAGTTCATTACAACTTACGCAAATCTAGGACGAAGACGCTGCCGTCGGAGGCGCTGGCGCCCACCTTGTCGCCCCTCGAGTTCCAGCACACCTCGAAGATGCCGCCGGTGCCTTTGTAGCTGTGCACCAGCTGACCCGACTGCGTCGACCAGATGTGCACGCACTTGTCGAAGCTGCCGCTGGCCAGGAACTTGCCGTCGGGGCTGAAGGCGACCGAGTACACGGGCTCGGTGTGCTTCGTGAGCGTGTGGATGCAGGCGCCCCGCTCCACGTCCCACAGCCGCACGGTCGAGTCGAAGCTGGCCGACGCGAGGATCAGGTTCATGTTGGGGTTCTGCGTGCCGGGCCCGGTCGGCGACCACTTGATCGTGTAGATCTCCTTGGAGTGCGCCTGCAGGTCGTGCACGCACGTGTCCTGCTTCATCGACCAGATTTTGAGGGTCATGTCGTCAGAGCAAGACGCAAGGAGGTTGCCCTGCGGGTCCCACTTGATCGCGTTCACCTCGTTCTGTAAAGCGAAATTTTGCGGGAAATTGTAGAGATCGGAATTGGAAAGTTTCCATTTTAAGGCAATTTATTTTCATTTTGAAAGTTTCTTTTTAAAGTTACCGGAAACATTCCCGAAAACTTTTTAAGGCCGAAGTTAAGGCCAAGAAATCAAATCAATCGTTTGCAAAAAACTAGAGATGGGAATCGAAAAGTTTTCATTTTTGAAAGTTTCCAGTCGGAAATTTATTTTAATTTTGAAAGTTTCTTTTAAAGTTACCGGAAACTTTTCTTGGAAACGTTTCCTATTTTTTAATGTAAATGTCAATTGTTTAAAATCTGATTTGCGAAGTTAAGGCCAAGAAACTGAATAAAAAGAAGTTAATTTACAAAAGTAGAAAAATAGTATTAGTAATGTTCTATGTATAGAACAAACCATGATTAGTTTGTTGAAGATCTCATCATCACAATTCATAAATCGTTTGCATAAAAGCCTTTTAAAAGGTAAACAAAATAAAAACAATAAACAAAGTTAAAATCATTCTCATGTTGTTGTTGTTTATTAGTACAATGCTAAGAGAAATATATTTGAAATTTTTACAAAATAGTGCAAATAATGTACATTGAATGTTACTAATGCCATTCATAGTTGCAAAAATGTAAAAAATTATGCAATCGTCATTTTTTAAATGTAGTTTGAATACATTAATCATTAAAAAAAAAATTGTAATGAGAAATATTTTCAATACACATTAAAAAATTAAATGGTAATACCTACATTACTCATTAAAAAATAAAAAATGAGTAATGAGAAACCATACATTTTTAAACCGCTTGTATTTTTCGATTTCCTTGCAAATTTTTTATGTTTAACTTCTACCCACTCAAGAAATTTTAAGCTGGGAAGACGACCTAAACTCAAAAAAGTATTGAATCCGCGATGGTATGAACGAATAATTAATTTTGAACAATGTAACTGGTAAAAAACCAATTCAAAACAAAAATTAAAAAATGTGTCATGCAATAAAAATATCTTCCTTGCCCACTAAAAATGAGTAATTCAATAATCATTAAAAATAAAAAATGGGTAATGTAAAGTAAGTACATTACTCAGTAACATAAAAAATTGTAATTGAAAATTTCAAAATACTCATTACAAAATAAATAATGTAAAAAAAACATTACTCATTGGAAAAAATGTAATGCGTAATTAACTTAATTTTCATAATAAAAGAAGTAATGCATAATGAAAATTAAACACATTACTCATTATTTTAATAATGTGTATTAAAATCTTAATGCATTAAAAAATAATGCATTATTTGCAACTCTGCACGGCGGTCCTCAAGGGTGAATAGGTTGACCAAAAATGTAGCCAAAAACTATTTACTACATCTAATTGTACTCCACTTGGGCTCTCTAAAACCATTTTTAGGTAAATCGCAGCTGATCGAAAACTTGATTTTTTTTAGTTTTTAGAGAAAATCATGGAATTTTATTAGTTTTTTTTGTTAAATTTTTTGTTATATCAAAAATATTTGTAATTTTGGTTACACTCGAATAAAAATCTCATCTTTTGATCTTTTCAATAACATTAGGCAACTACTATTACAAAACATGAAACATTAATAACTAAACCTACAAAATTTAATGACAAGAAGAAAAATCTACTACTGCTTTTCTCAAACTCAAACCATAGCTTGCAGTGTCCAAACAATTAATTTTATATTTTTCCCAGGTAAGTTCTAAATAAACCAACCTTTGAAGTGCCATTTCTTGATTCATTAATATCAGAAAAAATAAGGGGACAACAGACAACAGAATTGTGCTTCCTGCAATTGTGGGAAATTCCTTTACCAACTTTTTGCAACATTCACTACATGTTCTAAAATTTGCTTTTTTGTTCTTCCATTTAGGATTTTTGCGTGTTAGTTTGTGACCTTTAAAACTAGTAATGGTACATAGTCGACAGCTACATGGTGACATGTGAGTCTCGTTCTTGGATGTAGCTCAATTTTGTCAAAACCCAATTCTTTTTTGGGAAGAGGTATTTTTAAGATATTCTGTCTCCTATCGTATCAAGACAAACGACAATTGCCACATACTGCATTGGGATATCTACTGTCATTTTTGTCAAATTTAAAGCAGTGTAGATTTATCAAATTGTATAGGCTATCATTTAATCTAAATTTTGATGGATTGCATTTTCCAAAAACTATCTTCCTGGTGGATTTTGGGCACACCCATATCACAATTTTTAGACATGGGGCCCACATCAAATTTATAGTACATTATATTCAATTTAAATTGAAGTTTGGGAAAAAAAGTTAGTTTTTTAGTGTGCCCCCAGCCTCCTGCCCCCCAAATTAAGATAATTTAAATTCAAATGGTGCAATTTACTACAGTTTATCACAAATTTCAAAATTTATTTAAAAAGTATTACAGATTTTATATCATTTCTATTTTTTTTTATTTAAATTATAATTAATAAAAATTTTAAAATGGTATAAAATCTGTAATACTCGGACTTTTTAAATAAAGTTTGAAATTTGTTGATTATATTGTGAATTGTGAATTTTAAATTGCATATGGGTAACATGTGTAATAACTGAGATATTGGTGTACCCAAAATCCACCAGCCGTCACAGAGACTTTTTGCAGTATTACTTTGAACTTAAAACACTACTTTAAATAACACAACAAGCACAAATATCTAAATAAAACTTATTTTCTCTGTTCAATAACAATTGAAGTGTTTTCATAACAACATATTTTGTTTTATTAGATTTCATGGCACCCTTTACCTACATTTTTATTAAATTTTTTGCAGTACGTATAAAAATTTGATACTTAACCATGATTTCAATTAATAAATACTACTAAATGTTATTCAGAAGATGAAATAATTTGATTTTCAATAAGATAATGATTAAAATTACACAAACTTTTGATATAAAAAAAATGTAACAAAAACAAAACTACTAAAATTCCATGAAAACTAAACTAAAACTAAAAAAAAATCAACTTTTCGATCAGCTGCGATTTACCCAAAAATGGTTTTAGAGAGCCTAAGTGGAGTACAATTAGATGTAGTAAATATTTTTTGGCTACATTTTTGGTCAACCTATTCACCCTTGAGGACCGCCGTGTCTGATGACATTGTTATAAATTTAGTTTCTAAGTTACAATTTTTACAAGTTTAAATTACGAGAATAACACTTTTATTTTTGTTTGGTTTGAAAAAAATTCCTAATTTGTGTTTTTTGCTTTTTCAATTGTTTTTTATGGGTAATGGTAATCAAAAATGTTGATTTTATTTTGCCTGTAGTTTTTTTGTTTTCCATATATTATTGGTCAGAACTGCAATACTATTTTAAGTATCTTTTACTTTCCAATATTCTTATATTTGTTTATATATTTGTTCCTTTATATTTTTGTATGTAATATCTAGTGACTCACTAGTAGTGAATTTCTGATAGTTTTTTTAAGTTTCAGCATTATGTATAGACTATATAGTATAGTATACAATCATAAAAACAATTTTTTTATTTTGCTTAATAAAATTTGGCAAAAAGGTAATTTTTGATATATTTTTGCAATCCTCCTGGCAGTTAAAACTCATTTCCGCGAAAAAAATTTTTTAACTTTCGGAAAGTTTCGGTAATTTTTGAAGGAAAGTTTCCGGGAATTTTCCCATCACTAGAATTTTTTTTGAAAAAAAATCAATTCTTACCGTGTGACCCTGGAATGATTTAATGGGTTTGTCCATCAGCAGCTTGCAAACGTGGATGCACTGATCAGTAGAGCAACTGGCAAATGAAGTATTCGACTGCCAGTCGACATCCAAGGCAGGGGCCGAATGGAAACTGAATTGCTGTGTGCACTGACCACTGGCAGCGTCCCAAATAATTGTTGTTTTATCAACCTAGACAACAAAAACTTAAATGTTGTATTAAATGTATTTGGCCTAAACACTCACTCCAGCAGAAAGAATGTAGTTTCCCCTTTTGTTCCATTTTAAAGCGAAAATTGGACCCTTGTGTTGTCCCAAAGTACTTGCCAAACGACCATCATTGGTCCAGATTCTTGCATACCCGTCATAGCTACCAGTTGCCAAAAGGCTTCCATCACACTAAAAAAAAATAGCATAATACAGTCCCTGATGCTGGAAAATTTAATGCTAATTCTACAGGTATAGGAGAAAAAAAATCATCCATTTCTTATTGTCATGTTATAAGATAAGCGTTAATTAAATACGTCTCCCTAATAGCCCATGTCTTTAATTAATGCATATCTTCTAACGTGACATTGAAAAATTAATGATTTATTTCTCGTATGCACTTACGCCTGTAGAAGTGCCATATACATTTTTGTAAACTTTCACCGCACAGTTTTGCAATAATAAATGTTGACTGTGTCCAACCAAAATTATCAATCTGTCATTTTCGTCCATTACGAACACGTAATTACCTAGAGATATTTGGTTTGAATTATTTGCTGACAACCACAATTTTGTTTTTAAAGTAAATTATTAAAAACAATTGTATTGTTATTTATTTTTTTGAAATAATTAGACAATCCTGGGTTTTATGGGTTTCTGCTCTTCTCAAGTCTTTCACTGCAACTTCATGTTTTCTGTTGCTTTATTTTTAGTTCATATATCTTTTTTTAATATGTTTTACTTTTTACTGGACTAAATTCGTTTCACAGAACATAATAATTTGTTTTCACAACTCACTTTAAGATTTTAAATAAGACTACATAAATAAATGTCACTGCAACTGTCAAAAGCGAAAAGCGTTACCATAGAAACCAACTATCAACAACTTGCAATGTTGTAGCATATAATGCCTTTAGTATTAAAATAAAAAATAATTATAAAATCAGTTGGTTTTTTAAATCAAATGTAAATTTTGTTTTTAATAGTTGTTACTGCCCACACCTACTTAAATTAAATATTAATGTTTTTTAATGCTACATTGTATTATTTCGTTATGTAAATTCATAAAATAAAAACAAAAAAGTTTAATATCCACATTTTTAAAATTTGCAAGTAGGCACCTTAACAAAAACAAATCGCGCTTATCTTATGAGTTACACAAAAATGTTATACTGTTATACAGCTAAAAATATATTTTTTAAGCATATAACAATTTTCATATAATAACACTTATAAATAGAGATAGGGTTTTAGGTTGCAAAATTCATTAAAAAAAAGTTTTTTATTATTTTACAATTATTTTATACTTTTTAGTGCATTAAAACGTCTTTTTTAGTTTAAACTATAGGTACTCTCTAGTAGAGTAAGGATTGTAGAGAGTCTCTACAATCCTTACTGTATTAGAAATAAATGTTTTTTGTATCAAAATTATTATTAGGTTGGCAACATTTGTCATCTTGACACCTATATATCAACAAATAGTTTCAATTTTAATTTTTTCAATATATAACAATATGGAGTATACTAAGATTGTATTACCATCTAGCTATGAGCTATGTTTAAAGTTTCAAGTCTCTAGCTCATCAAGAAGTTAGTTAAAAAAAAGTGAGAATAAAACCATTTAACAGATGTCAGATTTTGAAAAAGTGAGGTTAAACCCGTCTGACAGATGTCAGATTGGTATAAAGTAAGGTTAAAACAGCTTGAGAGATAAAATATTAAATATAAATTTCTCAAGAACACTTATTTATTCTTGCATAATTAAACTCGTTTTTTAAATGACGTAGATTAATGAAATACATTAAAAAATAATGTTTAGAAATTATCATTTTTCCAACTGGAAAGTTTTGGCAGTTTTTTATAAACTACTTTTGGCAATTTTTTATAAACTACTTTTGCGTGATATTTCCGCTTTCAATTCTAGACAAGTAATGTCAAGTTTTACCTATCTAGTTGGATATGTATCTATTAAAAATTAACTATTTAAAAGCAATGCTATTATGCAATTATAAATATTGTCCAATCATAATAACATTTCCATTAGTAAAATTGCTCATTTTAAGTTGTTATTATATCAAATTTCAAAATGACTAACTCTATTAGGTATCATAAAATTATTTGAACAATTAATTTGTTTAATTTTTTTTATTTTACTTACTTAAAAACGAATTATTTAAAAATTCGTAAAATAATAAAAAAAATAAAAGGCCTAGCTGCATTAATGTATACCGCATACAACAAAACTTATAGGAGGAAAAATTTAGATAAACACTTACGTTCCAATCAAGAGAAGTAACATCTTTGTTACTGGGCACCTCAGTCTCCCCTTTTCTGATGCAATGTCTCAAAACCAACTGTTGAGGACTGATGATGTTGTCCGACATGTCCCATATTCTTGCAGTGCTATCCCCTGAACCACTGGCAAGCAAATCGGTGGTGGGATTCCATGCACAAATGAAAACTTCAGACTCGTGACCTCTTAATACTGTAGCCTTAGACGATGGTATTTCAATCGACTGATCCACCTCCATGTTTTCATTTTGGGTGGAAACAACAGCAGCTAAAATGTCACAAAATGTACATTATTTTAAATTGAGTGAGATTTTTATATATTTACCCTCTTCGCCATTTGTATCTACAACCTCAGGATTAACAGATTGCTTTTGTTGATTCTGCTGATTTTGTCGACTTGCCACTATGTCCGGCATAACTGCATCAATTAAACTAAGACTTTCCACCAATCTCTGTTCGGTACCATCTTCCCCGATACTGATTTCTGCCTCAGTATATTGCAAACCTTTTTGGAGGATGCTAAGTAAAGCAGCTGGGGGGACAAGTGCCCCATTGATATTTGATTGTGATATATGTGATTCAATGCCAAATGTGTATGCAGAATGTTGAAAACCTAAAAAAGTACATCTCAATAGGTGTCTTGAATTTATGCTTTCTCTGTACAAGCACAATCTATTCAAACAAAATCTGTGACACAGATTTGTAATTAACAATATTTTTTATTATACCCTTCTGTCAATGATATAAATATCATGGTTGTCAGTCTTTTTCATGTAATTTTTTTGTGTGTTCACCTGTACAGGCCCACGGGAAAACTTTTTCCCGTGCAGTTAATGGAAAGGATCGACTTTCATTGATCAAAATTGACATTAAAACAGTATTTTCAGAGGAGTATAAGAAAAAGTTGATTTTTGATATTGGTTATGTTGTTGTTGGCGGCAAGACGCTTACCGGATTCCTGGAGATATCTGTAAACCAGAAAATTCACTTCGTCACTGGAAAAACTCATTGTGAATCGGTTTCCAACTTCATCAATTTGTTTTAAATGAAAACCGGCGCAAAAACTCTAAAAAAAATCATCAACGTTCCTCATTAACAGGTAAATCTTCAACACTGAACAAGAATAAACAGTCAATGTTGCCAACATTCGCCGAAACAGAGACTTGCGGAATTTCCCAACCACTAACCAAGGAAAACTATCTTTAAGTTGACGTGAATAAATTAAGATATGAAATTTTAATTACATATTTTATTAATACTAACATTACACTTTATAAGCAGGAAATATTTTAACATCCAAGTTGGTTACATGCCCTTCAGTTGGCAACATTTGGTAAGATCATGCACAATGGGACAAATTTAATTGTTGTCCAATTTACTGTAATAATTATAGAATTTTAAATTTGAATGAACTTAAAAAATAATTAAAATATATCAAATTGGGAAATGTCTGTTTTTTCGGTCAAGCCAAATGAAGAATATTAGGCAACCAATTATACACTAAAATAATTAATAATTATTGTTCTACTCCTCTTTCATATTATTGACATTATTTGAGTTTTTTCAATAATGAACTCATTATTCACGTTGTGAGGGTAAAAAATTATAAATTTTTTAATTTTTTTTCAAACGAGGTTTTTTCTTCCTTTTTAACTATCCTGAAGGTTTGTAAATTAATTTTTAACCTGACTGACCACTTTTAATAAAAAAGTTAGAACAAATCCTAAGAAAGTGGGAAAAAATAATATCGTAATTTAAAAAAAATAAAATGAATTTTTGTCTTAATTTTTTACTAATTTCAAAAATTCAGATTTGTAAATTAATTTTTAACCCAAGCTCAGATCACTTAAAAAAAATAGAACAAATCATGTACTAAATAAATAAATAAATAAAATCCTAAAAAAGTGGAAAAAACTCAAAATTAAAAAAAATTCAAACGAGGTTTTTTCTTACTTTTTTACTATCCTGAAGGTACTCCCAAAAATTTAGATATGCACTGAATGCTAATAACGTCAATATAAAAAAAATATTATAGTCTAAACTGTTTTGTTTCGATATAATAAAGAATTAACGGTTCTTAGCGAAATTCTCTATTTTATCCCATTGTGCAGGTAAATAATTTTGCAATAAAATCTTACTTTATGAGTCCTCAAATCAATTAAAAATAATTTTGAATGGGGGTTTGTTTGAAACTACTTGTTTATTTTATTAAAATGACTAGAAAAATCCTAAATAACGATACAAATTATGTTCTTTGGATTAAACGTCAACCAACTAGCCGTTAGGTGGCGCCATCTGGCGTAGCACATGTAGACTGTAGTAGTAGTACGTTTCTGTTTATAAATAAAAGAGGAAGAAAAGGGATTAAAATGTCGGCATTGTAGTATGGCGTCGGGCGAGAAGAGCGTGAAGAATTTGGGAGGAAATTCTCCGGGAGGCGAGGAGTCATCGGAAAGTGATGGGGAAACGGAACCGGCTAAGTCGTTTCATAGACGGTTGTCGACAAATCGCGATATAAAATGTTCGGTATGTCCTGTGTGATGATTTTTTCCGATTGAAAGCTCCAATCTTGCTGTGCTAATAGAAAAAGATGGCATGAGTGTTTTTGTTTATTTTCGGATATCGTAGGCGTGGTGCACAAAAGCTATCTACTATTCCAAAATAAAAAAAAATAAGCTTAATCGAGCACGAGGTTGTTGAAAATGAATGCTTTGGCACGTTATCATTGCTTTACCCGATTTAATTGACCCACATTTTTTATTATGCATCTCTATACTATTTAGTTTTCTTCTCTAATCAACCCAACCCTATTTACCTACAATATATTTTACAAGACTGATAATGATAAAGTTTGCGCATGAGATATATTTTTGACCGTTTGTGTGTAATAATCGCTGTTCATAAATCTGTGTAACAGGTGTCAATATGGCCACGTCTACCTGCCCAACACAAAAACCCAAAAAGCAGCATTAAATTGGGCGCGGTTAATAAATATACTTAACCCAATTTAATGGCCTATTTTATGTTTCGCAGAGAATGTTTCGCTCAAATGTCTCCTTAAATGAATCCATTCAACCAATAATGATTATTGCAAAGTTCTCGTTATCTCCGAGGACGGTTGTTTGGGGGATGTATTGTTTTACCCCTTTGAATTTTTTATTTTGACTTCGGTGATAGCGCGCCGTCCATTGTTTCAAACCCTTTTAACGACGGCCACGTTAAAATTGGGCAACGTCGGAAATTACCTACGCATTCATCCACACCTTAATGTAAACAGGACCGTACCTTTATGAAATACTACTGCGTCTTAAGCATTTCAATATTCAGTGCTCATTTTGTTGTCACGCAATTTTTTATATAATAAAAGTACAAAATGTCTGCAGAATAAATAAACTGGGAGCGATACATAAAATATTAATAAAATAATAACCAAAGCTTTAACTCAAAATGTTGTCCAAACAAACAATTATTTCATCCCTTAGACAAGGAAAGAGAGGGGACGCTTAATCAGGCCAAAATGTGCTAAATGGGAACCAAAAAATGGCGTCGCTCAAGTAACCTCAAAACCACCAATAATAAAAAATAAATATACCTTTTGATGTGCAAAAATAGAGACATCAACAAATTAAATGAAGATTATCAATTTATCAAATAAGTAAAATAAAAACAAAAACGGTACCTATAGTCCATTCCTTTTAAGAATGGCAGTTGTCGTTGATGGAATATTCTATCAACGACAACTGCAATTCTTAAAAGGAATGGATAATGAATAATATAATGGATAATGAATAATATATTATTATGTAACAACGTTGTTTGTACAAATATGGAAAAATCATAGCAAACCTGAATGCACTACATGGAAATAGTTATTTGTTTCACAAGTGTTGAAAAGCGACTTTTTCATGCGAGTGTTGCCCACGAGGCCGTTAGGACCTCAGTCGGAGACATATCCATTTTATAAAGTAAGAATTCTTAAGACACCTCAAAATTTAAACATTAATTTGCAAAAAACAATTTGATAGCTTTTGAAAGCCGTGTATGACATGTCCAATTGCCCATACTTAAGTAGGTATGGGATGATTCAACAAAACTGTCACTGTCGTTCTCCATAGCCTATGGATGGACCATAGCAACCTTAGTTCTTCATACAGAAAAATATTGGAAATTGCAATGTTTTTTAAAAAAATCCATATTTTCCGCAAAAATAAATATATCGAGGTGAACCAAAAACAAAACTGTTAAGAATAGATGTGACTTGATAAATAAAACTTAATTTAGAACAATATACGGTTTTGCCACTCTACAGAGTGTCTTAAACTTATGGTAAAAACATCTTTTTGTTTAAACCTGTATATTATAAACGTACGTCTATTTTTTAGTATTTTTTTAAATGTGAGAGATTGTCCATTAATTTATCTACAATATTCTTTAATATTCGTTTAAATCCGACATCAAATAAAAAAGTTATTTGCGATTGAAATTCATCGAAAATTTGTGTGGATCGATTACACCATTTTAGTATTTGAATTTACACCGGCCAACGAACCATATTTAACACCATTTTGGTTTGTATCGATATAGACCATGTATGGTGTTAATTTGGTGTTAAAATGGTCATGAAATTTTGAACAGTGTATATAACTTCATCAAAATAAAGTTTTGCCCTTAAAAGTTCTTTTACTTTAGAATCTGATATTATTTTTGGCATAGTAATCTTTTTATATCGATATTATATAATAATTAACAAGTATAAATATTACTGTTAATTTGACAGTGTTGGAGTATTTTCAGCTGAAGTACCATTTTTTAAATACTAAACTGTATGTAACAAAAAAGAAAATTATACAATGACGTTATAATTCCATCTTAATAAACAGCCCCCACCAAAGATAATACACCCCATTCTTTGGCCCCCACCCCTATAAACAGTCATCAATACACGCACTTATGAATAGACCTTAAACGCTGACGTCAAATGCCGTTAATGACGTGCACCCATACAGATTTGGTCGCGACTATATCAAATATCCAACAGATAGGTCTTCAAATCTGTGCCTGTGTAAATAAAACCCAGATATTTGGATATCATTAAAACTACTATTTAGGTATTTAAATAAAAGAACTGTTTAATAACAAAATAATACCCAGATGATTTAACAATGTTTGCCAATTTTCTGTTTTATCTTCTCCTTACCCGTATAAGGAATCATCGGGACACTGCATATAATAAAAAAAACGAAGTATGCAGTGTGTTGTACTTAAAACCTTCCCACCCTTATAAAATTTGCATTTTTTAACCGATTTACCTAAACTTATTTGTTAAATAGATCTCTAAAAATGATTTTTATCGCATGTCACTTGTTTTGACAACTAAACTCATGGTCAACTGTGGTCTTTTTTGGGGTCGAAATTTCGAAAAGTACCAATAGGAATTTTATCAAAGCATATTCAAATTACTTTGGCAAAATATTGTAAGTTTGTGAACAAAACATTAAATGAGAAATAAATTTTTGTACTCACTGCAAATTGTCTATTTATTATTTGAAATTACTATCGCTAACAAAAAAAACTCATACAGCTATATTGTGGCTGTGTGAATAAAACTTTTCCGTCAATGTCAAGCTGACATCGAGCTTTGTCACATCCATTATGACTTTTTTAACAACATTTTCAACCAAACAATGCAGACGAACTCTGGCAAGCCATTGAAGCCATTTTGAACGAGATAAAGCAAGACGGCGACTTCCATGCTTTGCCGTTTGCGGGCAGTAATTGACAAAAACAGAGGGATGACGAAATATTATTATTTTTTAAACTTCAACCTAACTTTGTATTTAATTTTAGACCTTTCAAATGTGACGTATCATGTTAAAAGCCATAATTACTCCAACGAAATGATAGAAAATCAGGAACACTAGATTCTTAAGCTGTATGAGTTTTTTTTGTTAGCGATAGTACTACAAAAAACACTTTCAATCATTCCCGATTTTTCATTAAAAAGTATTTTCCAAATAAATAAGTAAAATCTGTCGTCTACCTTATTAAACTCAATTATAATTTCTTTCACAATTTTGAACTAAATAATTTTTGGAAACAAAAAATAGATGGCGCACTATCTGTTTAATTTGACAATTCTGTACCCACCACTAATTAAATTCCATTATACCTAATTATAATAATAAATAAGTAATAGATAATATTATGTAAACAAAATTTAATTAATTGATAGTGTTTGTGCATACATGGTTACTGTTTTATTTTCCCAGAGTACAATTATCCAAATGAAGTGGGTAATACCCACTTCATTTGGAAAATAAAACAATAACCATTTATACCCACTGGGTATATTATAAAATTATCCTTTTCTGAGAAGCTCAAATGCTTTTATCAAATTAGGTAAGTAAGGCCATGGCATTGGTTAACTGGCTGTATACGTTTCAAACAAATTATTTTATATGGCTTTTAATTTAATTTTGCCTACTCGAATACTTTCATTTCTATCCGGCTAAATTCCAATGAACATGTCCGACAAAGAGCACTCTTTGATTTTTTAATTCCCTTGATTCAACTACACAAAAATGCAGTGGCGGCTGGTGGATTTTGGGCACACCCATATCTCAGTTATTAGACATGGGACCCACATCAAATTTATATGAGTTTATAATGACATTATATAGACAAGTTCTGCGCAAGCAGAATTTAAATTAAAGTTTGCGAAAAAAGTTAGTTTTTAAGTGCAACCCCCAGCCTCCTGCCCCTCCAAATTAAGATAATTCAAATTAAAGTGGTACAATATTTAATTCACTGAAGTTTATCGACAAATTTCAAATTTTATTAAAAAATTCAAGAATTACAGGTTTTATACCATAATTTTTATTTTTTCTTTTACTAAATTAAAAAAAATTTGAAATGGTATAAAATCTGTAATACTCACAGTCTGTGGTAATACTTGAATTTTATAATAAAATTTGAAATTTTTCGATAAACTTTAGTGAATTAAATATTGTACCACTTTAATTTGAATTATCTTAATTTGGAGGGGCAGGAGGCTGGGGGTTGCACTTAAAAATTAACTTTTTTTCGCAAACTTTAATTTAAATTCTGATTGCGCAGAACTTGTCTATATAATGTCATTATAAACTCATATAAATTTTATTTGGGTCCCATGTCTAATAACTGATATATGGGTGTGTATTTAAAAACAAATAATAAAAATTTAAAATGGTATAAAATCTGTATAATTTGGATTTTCTAAATGAAATTTGAAATTTGTCGATAAACTATGGTAAATAATAAATTGCACCAATTAAATTTATATTATATTTAATGGGGGCGCCATGGGCCGGTACGGCCGAGCAAAAAGTTATCTTTTTTTCGCAAACTTCAATTTAAATTCTGCTTGCGTAGAACTTGTTTATTTAATGTCATTATAAACTCATATAAATTTGGTGTGGGTCCCATACCTAATAATTGAGATATCGGTATACCCAAAATCCACCAGCCGCCACTGCTAAAATGCTAAA